CGACCGACGACCGACGACGACACACACACGACACACACACACACACACACACACACACACACACACACACACACACACACACACACACACACACACACACATACACACACACAATTTATTCAGCCGAATATTATTTTATTGACACTGCATCACAACTCACTTTCCGTGATTGCACATGATGACAGTAACCGTATGAATTCCAGTGACATCATATCCTGCATTTGGCCGGACCGTACTGTTTATGAACCTAAAATTCCTCACAATGATACATCTTGTATTTAATATTTTGTTGAGCATTCTATTTTTTAATAAATAGAGTAAACGCTAAACTCCAGATAAATATTAGGTCTATTAGAAAACATACACGATTGTGTTGCTCTCTTCTCAGTTAATTTTAATGCAAGTTGGAAATGCTATAAGTTAGTATTGATTGATACAATATCTGCGTGTCTGTCCATCAAAATAAAAAATTGTTACTCAGAATAACGTCTTGGTATTTGAAAGTTATATATATATATATATATATATATATATATATATATATATATACAATATTATATTACATTATATTATTATTAATATTAATAACAATTTCATTGATATAAAAGTAAATCTTTGCACTAAACACGGCTTAGCGGCATTCGTAATTTAGCGTTCTGTCGAAGCTCAGTAACACGGGCTCTGTGCGCAGTGGGCGCAGTGGTAACCCTCCGTCAGTGTTTCGATGTTTTTCCGTTTCATCTTATTTACGATACCCTGTCTGCGACCTACGCATGCGCACCCTAGACCGTATCTTTGAGATGTTGATTATACTGCCATCCGTCAGACGAAAACAAACCAAAAACAAGCCTCTTCTGGCATGCCTGTAGAGCAATATAACAGCACCAGAGCGCCGCTATCGTGTTATATGAGCCTCCCATCACGGTCGGCCATGCCGCCTTGACAGCGGGAGAAAACAGCGGTGCAGTCAGTGCACAGTTTGCTGCACGCACGACTACAGGGTGCACACACGCCCGCAGCACGGTCGCACTTATAGCACGAGACTCCACCGATATACGGAGGGGAGGAACCACGCGGGAGGCCATCGAGGTGTGGCGGCAAGAGGACATCGCGTATAAGGAAGAAGCTTCGCCGATAAATCCCACAACGTGGCGAGGACAGGAACGAAGAACGACTGCTTGTTGATTAGATTAGTTGATGACTGGGAACTTGGTCTCGGGCGTTCCACGTCGGTGGTTCTCTTGCCTCTGCCTACTTGCTTTCTCGTTGTCTCGTCATTTTTCCTACTGCCGATACATGAAGTGCGGGCGGACGCTGACGGTCGGCTGAGACTGGAGGACGCTTGTCCTGTACATGGACTCGTTGAGCACGCTGCATGATGATTGCAGACCCGCGACCAGCGGCCACCACTGCGCGGTAGCTTTATCTCACAGCTACTAGTCTGAGCATCATATGTGCGTCGATGATCCGTGTACGTCGAAGCCGTATGCTTTTATTACGCTTAATAATTTCATTAGGAAACGCGTCGGTTTGAATCTGCGATCGTCGTTGGAGGTGAAAATTTCTCAGACGAATTACCCGTCACAAGAGAGAACGTTGTATGTACTAGCGATAGGCGCGGTTTAGCGCGAGCGATATTTCATCTCTCATTGACTCACAATTGCCGTCTACATACGTTCCGACTACTCTTGTCATTCGCAAATTAGCTACGTGCTAGTATCGTTGTCAATGTAACACTAAATGTACTAATATATTATTATACGTGCTAATATATTGCTGTGTGCTGATATATTACGACGGATTCGGAGCGTCATTAGCACACCTCCCAAGTTCGGGCGGAGAGCGATCGCGAAAGTTTCGGGAGGTAATATTTGCGTCGGTCGTTGACGACGCTAAAGATGACGAGTGTGAGTTGCCGATACAACGAGGAGCGCTACGCCGATGCTCAGTACATGCAGGCGCCTCCCTCAGCGCTCGACCCCACCTCGCTCTACCCGCAGGGAGATAGCTACCTGCGACACAGGCACGAGTACGAGTACCTGATGCGACACTACCGTCCGCCGACCGCCTACGCGCCGCCGCCCGCCGACGTCGTCTACGGTCGCGGATTTCTACTCGACGAAAAGCGACGCGTCGGCTACGAGGAGGAAGGTCGTCCGCAGGAGGTGCCGACGACGGACTATGCCGACGCGAAACAACAACAACAACAACAACAACAACAACAACAACAACAGCAGCAGCAACAGCAACAGCAACAGCAGCTTCTCCTTCCGTCGTCGCAGCAGCTACACGACGCGACGGAGCCTGCCGACGCCGACGCGACGGCGACGTACTGCGCCGACGGCAGCGACGCGACGAGCGACGACGAGCATGTGCCGCACGTGTTCGCGCCGCACTTCGCGCACCGGCACGCGCCGCGCCGCTGCCTGTTGTGGGCGTGCAAGGCCTGTAAGCGCAAGACAGTGACGGTCGACCGCCGTAAGGCCGCTACGATGAGGGAGCGACGGCGTCTTCACAAGGTAAACGAGGCGTTCGAGCTGCTCAAGCGACGGACGTCGGGCAATCCGAATCAGCGTCTGCCCAAGGTCGAGATCCTGCGCAACGCTATCGGCTACATCGAGAGTCTCGAGCAACTGTTGCGTGGCAGCCGGCCGAGCAGCCGAGACGAGAAGACGGACACGCGGTCCAGTAGCAGCTCCTCCGACTACATGGTAAGAGAGAAGGTTTACGACTATATACTAACTATATACGAACTATATACGAACTAGCAGAGTATAATGCGTACATTATAAATAGGTCATAATAATGACTACATTCCAATTAGCGAATTTAAAAATTGCATTACTATATAATCTAATAAGCATTAGCACATACTGATAACGTTGTGAGTTGCCAGTATCACTATAGTAGATAATAGACACAATATCTAATATTTTTACTCTTGTTAATGTTTTGATTATAATTTACACAGGTTAATTTAGAATATTATATTAATTATTAAATTATATTAATTATGTATAGCCAAACGACGAGTCGTTACACCGCAAATAATTCGATTTCTCCATGTCCCTTGCACATTAAAACCCTAATTTTAAAGACACTATCATAATCATTATTGAATTTTAAGAGTGTGGATAGTGTGTATAGAATGCTACCGCATCGCGTATCGTTGTGTATTATGTGAAACGGGCTAATGCGCGATCTAACTAACTCGTATTTAATTACTCATCGCACCATAATAAGAAAAGCTGTGAAGGACGCAGTGCCGATACTTTAGCGTATTATTATAGCGAATATACTATAGCGAACGTTATCATTATATCAGTGAATAATAATAGACTATTATAGTCTATTAACTATAGTCTTTAATAATAGACTATTATAATCATAGTCTATTATTATTCACTCCTGATTATATGAATAATACTATTATAAATTTAAAATTTACCGTTTCAAATAATAAAACACCCAGAAAAATTAAGCGTAAATGTAAACAGCTATTACCGGACATTTAGGAAATATCTTTGAACTTATATGTCGACACTTAATACCAAGAGGTGTTAGTAGTTCAATTATAATATTCAAATTTCTATGAAATATATTCCGAAATTTTTCATAATAATTCGAGCGTGCGTTCGTACCAAGGTATGTTGTCTGTGTGTTTGTGCTACGTGAGTGGGTGCGTGCGTGCGCGAGCGTCTCTCTCTCCGGTTTTCTCTGTGTGCGTGCGCTCGCGAAGGTGAAAGAGGAACTGTTGTAATTCTACATCCGCCTTAGGATTTTATTGCTCTCTCTCTCTCTCTCTCTCTCTCTCTATATATATATATATATATATATATTATATATATATATATATTATATATATATATATATATATATATATTATATATATATATATATATAAAAATTTATAAACTATTTCATAAAATATAAAAATTTCATCAATTATTAATAAAGTGGTGGGAGCACTTTTTTTAATTATAAATTGACAAAAAGTCAATAGGTATATAAAGCTAAACGATTTCTGTCATTTATCGCAATGTTTTTTTTCACGTGAGGCATGCATGGAGGCGGCTTCTATAATTCCCATTATGAACAAACTGATAACGAACCGTTAACGGTGTGAGCACTTGATTCTTCATTGAAAAAAGTTTTATAGGCCTGGAGCGATCGCGGATATCAAGTTCTCTACTATTCGGTCATTATTGACCCATGATACTGCACAGAACACACGCGCGCACACACACACACACACACACGCACACGCACACACACACACACACACACACACACACACACACACACACACGCATCCACGCGCGCGCACGCACGCACGCACGCACACACACATCACACACGCACACGCTCACAGCACACACACACACACACACACCACACACACAACCCACCACACACACACACACCACATACACACACACACACACACCACACACACGTACACGCACGCATGCACGCACGCACGCGGCACGCACGCACGCACGCACGCCACGCACACACACCACACACAGACACCACACGCAAGCACGGCGGCTGCACACCCAGAGCCGAGAGAGAGAGAGAGAGAGAGAGAGAGAGAGAGAGAGAGAGAGAGAGAGAGAGAGAGAGAGAGGGAGAGAGAGAAGTGTGTATGCGTGGTATAGGGGTAAGGGAATTGAGAGATTGCGTGGGTGGATGGCGGTCTGACTAACAGACATATGCGCATACATGATATCATGATGATATACGTATATAATATTAATGAAATAGTAGCATTTCTATTACATTTCACTGAGTATGCGGCTCAGGGCGGCTCAGGAACTGTTTTTACACACACGTGTGGTAATCCGGCCTCGGTACGCAGGCATGTTGTTCGCCTCGCGTTGAATATTCTCGATATCTTCGCTAAATTTGATACGCGGCGATATAAATCAATAAAAGTTAAGGGTCCATTAATAAAGCAATATGGATGGGTGACGGAACAGATCTGCAAAGCTATTAGGCCAGCTGTTGCGAGACGCCACCGCTGACGACTCCTTAAAGGAGGCCCGCTGCTTGCGCGGCTGCGTATACGTGCGTGCGTCTTTACTGCGCGCCGGCATGCTCGAGAAAGAAGATGCAATCAGCAATCAACCGAAACAGATAAAACGCGAAACTGAGTTACTATATCATCTCGCTGCGACTCATTAGGAAGTGGCTAGTGGGCGGCCGGTCGGTTGGTCGGTCGGTGCCATTCCGGCGCTGCTCTCGCGTGTACAACCGCCGGGGTGCTGTCTGATATCAGAGAAAACACAAGAGACAATGTCACGCCCACGCTGCTATCACTGATCGTTCATCACACGGACACGCCGCGGCGTTGTTCTTATTATTATACCGACGCGAAAAGATTGCGAGCAAGCGTACTGCTCCGCCGGTGATGTACCGGCACGCACCCAGCACAACCACTCTTGCCGGCTCTCCTTTAACTTCCTATTACCCGGGATGACGTTTTCACAGTCGGCGAGTTTTATTTAAAGCCGCAGGGACAGGCGGGGGATAGATCCCAGACCTCATCAGTGCGGCAAAGGTTAATCGTTTTTTTTCTCGCGAACACTATGCAGGCAGTTGTTAAGGACCGTGAGGATAGGGTTGCTCCCACTCCCCGACGCAAGCTGCCTAGATTCAGATGCCATCATTCACTGAAATTATATGCGCCAATTTCGGTTAAGATTTCACACAGCTATTTATTTTCGATGCGGACAGATCGTTCATCACACGCGCACGGGATCTGGCCGCGGCGATGCTAAACAGCATCGGGGGAATTCTTGGCTGCCACGGGTCGGCTGTAAAGTTAAGAGACCAGGTGCTGCGTGCCTGTATACTAACGCTCTGCAATGCGGACGAACCCACGCGCAAACCCGCGCGGTCAGTGTTTTACGACCTTGCATATACGTATATTTATATATGTGCATGCGTGCGTTTATTGTTTTAGACGGTGAACAGTCCGCGATACTACATGGAAAAGCTGCAGCACTACGGCGAAACTAATTACCAAAGTGTCACGAACGGTAAGAGATTAAACCCTAACACGTAGGAACATATGAAGGACTATAAAGGTCGCAGTGGTAAAGACGTCTGCATATATCAATTATCACAAAACTAATGCTTCATATGCACTGATGCGTCATACGCACTGATATGAATATCAGAACCTTGAATATCACATACACCGTCGGTTTCTCGCAGCTGGCGACCATAGCAGGAATAATTAGAGTGATGGTGATGATGATGATGTGATGCTGCTGCTGCTGATGATGATGAATGTAATGATGATGATGATGATGATGATGATCCGTCTACAGGTCTGTCGCCAGATGGCAGCAATGCTGCGTCCAGCCTCGACTGCCTCTCTCTCATCGTCGAGAACCTCGTACCAACGACGAAGCAGGTTTCCTCTGATAAGGTTAGCGAGAAGCCCTTAGGGGGACGTACACGTGTACATACTGCCTAGCTCCGGCATCAATGTTTGGTGTGTGTGCGTGAGTTCGCAGCCATATTTTCCATTATCCCCATCGGAGAGCAGAGAGAGTACCCTTCACCGGGTTTACTCGATCGTCGAATTTTACGGAACACCAAATGATACGGACATTATACAGATACCGTCTTATTTTCGCTCGATCTATGAAAATAATGTGTGACGATCCCTTCATGATTATATCTTTGTGTTTACTTGGCCATCGTGCTATTATCAATACCCGTAGCTAGCGTAAACTTTATTTTGATAATAAAGGTTGGACTGGTATTAGCTAACCATAGAATGTCAAAATTAAAACTAATATTTCATTGGCATGTATGGCATGCGTAACTATTATTATTTTTGTTGTTATCAAGTTTAGAGGGCAGCTCAAAAATCCTTGTGTATAATAGGAAATGCTGCGAGAAGAAAGATATCATTCTGACCAGAGTACCACATCATCGCTGTTTGTCTTACAATTAATTACCGCATGGAAAATAATTATCATTATCGTAACGAATCCGATACTGATACGGAATTTGTTTAATTTGTATGGGTGGTAATAATTTAGTATATGGTGACTCGCGGAGATTGACTCCGCAGTTCTTCGTTGTAAGCTCGCTACCGCCATGAAAAATAAATGGTTATCAAAATTGAGCATTGCGAACTCACTACCCAAATAGCTACACGAAAACTATAATGTCAGTATTCTCACAACTCCCACTATGGCAACTTTTGCCTTAATCAAAATTAAACTCATAATTAACCAAATAAATTGCTCACTTATCTACTATGCATCTGTTTCGCAGGATTACATTCTACATTAGATATGTTCATATGTACATTTCAGAATTGCTACTGTCACTATGAAAATAAATATTCTATTGTATAAAACTATACGATCGAACAACGTTTTTTACTTCTTTTGCCGGAAATATAAACTTTAAAAAATCGTTGAATATACACATATTTTCGTTAATTACTTTTTCACAAATAGGTCAGTTTTCCACGATATTGGTTGACGACTAATGAATGTTTAACCATATTCTCGTTGGTTAGGTGTTTTTACTTAGATGGTTGGTTGCCATTATTGTTTTGTAAACACAACCCACTTTAAACTATTGGAAAAAATATTTGCGTGCGTGCGTACGTGTGCGCGTGCATGTGGGAGCAGGGATGCTGCTGCCAATAAATTTGTTTATAGATGCGATAGGATATCGTGAAACGGAGACAGACACAAAGCTGAGATGTATATCTGCCCGTTGTCAGACAGTTTTTGCTCCCGATGATTGATGCAATTTCTCCCCCACCGTTTCCTGTTTTCTTCCTGCTTCACTTTTGTCGCTTGTCATTTATAATACCCAGAATAAGAGTTGTGTATCTCAATTTTCAAGGACCGCGTTTTTACATTGCATATGAGTTTCACAAAAATGCACTCGCTCGAGCGTTGACGATCGCTTTAGTCTAATTTAGTGCGCCGCGAGAGACAACGACAAACCAAAGACGTGTTCGTATAGGTGCATATACACGGAGCATACTCATAGCAGAGACACCTCCTGCACACTGCTCCCATGGGCGACGCAGACGCCAACTTTATGTGAAAATGCACCATTATTTTACCGATTATCAGCTCCAGAAATCTTAGATGTTTATCTGTTTCTACGGCTCTGCCGCCAAGGATCCTACGGCTATAGAATACACGAACATAAGAGAGGCTGTCATGTCTATTGGGGGCGTCAGTAGCTACCGGGCACGGGGATGGACCTTTCCCTGATGTCCCACGTGCATGTCAACACTCGCGTTTTATTGCTCCTCCGATGGTGTTCATCCCAGCTCAACTGTAGCTTTCTGTCGACGGCAAAGCTTGCATGAACGGAAGTAGTGTGACGTACAACATATCTGGTGACAGGCGCCACTGCCTTCGTGTTTTGGTCGCGACTATACCGACGTTCAAATTCTACTACAACGCAGGCAACTTTACTCTAGTCCTAACTTTTTCGCGTATAGTTTTTATCGTGTGTAAACAGCTAACGAAAGGCGATCGCTTCGCCTATACGAGTCGTCATGAAAAGTTTTCATTGTTATTTAGAAGTTTATTTTGTTGCTCGTGTGGTGGTCAGCGGGTAGGAAAGTAGGGGGAGGTACGAGCGAGGGTGTATGGGGGTAATTTCAAGGAATTTTGGAGGGGTGTGGAACAAAGGAGTGCGTGGTTGGTACTAAATAGGGATGTGGTAGAGTGTGAACGAGGTTGTTCGGGAGGGAGGGGAGTACGAACGAGCACTGCGTGTTAGCATATATAGCGCACGTGCGCTTCGGCGATTTATTTTTGTTTGCCTTATGCAAAAGCAAATAGGCATCTCGCGTAACCATAATGTAACAGCATTACAGCTAATGATGGATGGTTTTTCTTAAAGAATGCTCAAAGTGTTTACGAAATCTTATATGGTTATGGTTTCGGCCGGGGTCGGATGCATTTCAGGCGATGATGGTTACAGCCACTAGCCGACGTTAACGGCTCCCACAAGCCTCTGTAGTTACAAGTGTATCAGGTATTGCTTAGCTTAAACACAGCGACGTACTCTAACATCCCCCACTAACATCCCCCACCGCTCTCAATACACTGCTTCTTCGCAACTCACGGCGCAGACGGGAAGTGAGGTGTGGAGGGTGTGCAGACCTTGTTAAATGGAGCAACAATACCAATGAGAAAGACAGATAGAAGAACGGCACTGTTGAAACGAAAAGAAGGGAACCAACAGACGGAAAACAGACGGAAAAACAGACAGAGACACAGACAGACCGACCGACAGACAGACAGACAGACAGACGGACGTACGGACAGACTTGCGGAGACAGACAGACACACACATACAAAGATAGACAGACAGACAGACAGACAGACAGACGGACGGACGGATAGAACTGACAGACAAGACTGACAGAGAGATAGAGAAACAGACAATCAGACGGACGGACAAACGGACGGACAAACAGACGGAGAGACGGACATACATACGCACATACATACCGTACGCACATACATACGGACAGACAGACTGACTGACTTACAGACAGAGAGTGGGGAGAGAGATGCGGGATAGAACAAAAAAGACGTGGAGATTGGAGAGAGAGAGAGAGAGAGAGAGAGAGAGAGAGAGAGAGAGAGAGAGAGAGAGAGAGAGAGAGAGAGAGAGAGAGAGAGAGAGAGAAAGTGAGGAAGACGGGAGAGAGAACGAGAGAGTGAGACAAAGAAGAGAGGGAGAGAGAAGTTTAAACACTCAAGGCACTTGGTTTTGGGAGCGATCATTTTAAAATACCAAAGGTATAATGTTCAAACAGATAACCGGGTGAACAAAGAAAAAAGTAGTTTGGTAATATTTTTTTTTGCATTACTGCAGAGGTTTTCCACGACTTCCCCGTCGGGATGATCCTACCCAGACGTACTTTGATGCATTTCTTTGTATATATATGACAATTTACAAGCTCGCTGTCTGGTTTCAGAGGGAGCAACGAGCTACTCGTCCAGACACTGTCAGCATCAGGTTGCTTCGCTCCACCCTGAGTAAAGCCAGACAGCCAATCGGCCAATATACCAACCTACGTATCACAGTGACGCCTCCTGGTGACAGAAACGAATTTTGCATATACCAAAGCACGCCAAAGAAATCGGTGTCGCCTTCTGCCAATCACAAATCTACAGCACGAAGCTTTCCCACTCTTCGACTGATTACGAAAGGTCGCGGCAAAACCCAACAATTTAAGGCACCGAATGCCAACCCTGCCTTCAAATGCTTGTATTGGGGTGTGGGTGAGAAACGAAAGCTACAACCTTTGATATAGCGTTCACTGACAGAAAGCACGACGAAACATCGGCTGCACAAAACACGGGGGATTCGATTCGTGTTCTCGGGTTAGTGATCTACACATTTAGCAGGGAAAAGACATTTGAAAGCAAGCAAAACCACACACACCGATATGGTTAATAATTAGCATCCAACTTTATTACTGCTTTAGTTATATTAAATACTGCAGTTTCGCGCAATATTTTTTAAGTAACAACAACAATATTACAGAAATATCATCATTAACAGTCAATCGTTAATTGTCTCCTAACTAAAACGTGAAAAAATAATCCTTGAATATAATATGATGGTTATTGTCTCTCCAGATTAAATACGTCTTTGATACGTAACAACAAATAAATTTATCCCTTATACCTACACCTATGTGCGAGTGCGTCCCAGTGGCGGATCCAGAAGTGAATTCTAGGGGGGGGGCGAGTCATGTGAGCTCAAGGGCACGAAGCGCCAGAGGGGGAGGGTGTTAGGCTAAAATACCATTGCCCTGAAAATTCTAGGGAGAGGCGACCGCCCCCTGTGCCCCCCTGGATCCGTCACTGCGTCCACACATGTGAATACCTTCCATACATGATAGCCACATTATTTAAAATATTTCAAGTTAAAAACGTCATGTGATTTTGAATAATGATTTCCATCTACGACTCGAATAAATTGTCGCACATAATTTTCACAAATTTAAGTAAAGTGACACAAGAAACACTGTTTACATAAACCCATGATAACGATCAGCTATTCCTGCTTGCCTAACACCCAGTGAGCTTCTCACTAACTTCCCACAATCTCTTTGTGACGTCACTATCCAAAGCCTTGCTATCCAGAGGCTCCTCTCTGCAGTTGCCGTAATACTTGCCAGACACACCCTCGATAGACTTATCAACAGCGCAGAACACGCTCGTCTGACAGCCTTGGAAGGGCGTCTTCAGGAGCGCGAGTCCGAGGGGGCGGAACAGCAACCTGATGATGCGCGGCGTGTTGACGCGGCGCGCTAGGCCTGACCAGACGATGCCCGGATGCACGAGGTACGTCGACACGCCACGCTCGCACGTCCTGCGGTGCAACTCGCGCCCGAACAACGAGTTCATCAGCTTCGAGTTCTTGTACGCCTTCGCCGGGTTGTACGCGCCGACCATGTTCAGATTATCGAAGTCGACGATGCCCTTCCTGTAGAGCGACGACGTGACGACGATGACGCGGCTCGGCGCCGACTCGACGAGCCGCTCGGTGAGTAGACGCGTGAGAAGAAAGTGACCGAGGTGGTTGACGGCGAGGTTGTACTCGAAGCCGTCCTCAGTCGTCGTCGCGGGGCCGCCGTACACGCCCGCGTTGTTGACGAGCACGTCGATGCGCGGCTCCGTCGCGAGCACGTCCGCGCAGAATGCGCGCACGCACGCCAGCGACGCCAGGTCGAGCCGCTTGAGCAGGAGCTCGCCAGCCGCGGTGCGCTCACGTATGTCAGCAATCGCCTGCCGACCGCTCTCAAGGTCGCGCACGGCCATGATGACGCGCGCACCCCTAGCCGCCAGCTCCGTTGCAGTCGCCTTACCTGCGACAGGGGGCAGCATTGATTATACTCCACTATACTGTACGTTTAGGAATGCATAATTAAACGTGTACTAACATATTAATGATTTAATTATGTTATACCGAATATTGAATCTTTTTTTGTTGGTATACAGTGTACACACAGGCAAGCACGCACGCACGCACGCACGAACGCACGCGCGCGCCTGCACGCGCACACACACATGCACACACACGCACGCACGCACACACACACACATACAGGATTTTTATACTGCAGGCAATGGGCTTAACTTATGAACTCTCCCGGTATGTGATTAAAGTCTATATGCATAAATTACAAATAATGCAATTTCATGAGCGCCTATCCTTGTCAATTGACTTTTGATTGTGTAATAAAACTGAAATCATGGATTACAGCATCAAACATGATATGTAATGCAGCTAGTTAAAAGCAACATTGGTCTAGTATTTGAGAGTACTATAGTATGATAATTATTGCAGCAAAATGGCAAATGCCTACATATTTCTGTTATCACACATTACCTTAAACAGATAATGAACAATCGTGGATGCTCCCACGACACTGTATCAAGTACGATTTTTAGGTCAGTTTTAGCTAGTTATTTCCAATGTGGCCAAGTGTGTCATCCAATATCTGATTGGGTTAAAAGGCAAGGTAACTTTCCAAAAGGTTTGGCTCACAGACACTTGGGACAGTCAGTAAAAACTGAAAATAATATGAACGCACATACACAAATACTACCGTACGGTGTACCTCTCAATTACAGTTCCACTCTTGTGTCACTGTATATCAACTTTCCTTCATAAAAACTAAAGGGCCGTACACACTAGGCGATTTAATCGGGCGACTTTATCGCCCGATAATATCGCCCGATTCTATCGCGCGAGTCGAGTGGACACACTAGGCGACTAAATCGGGCGACTAAAGGCCGGAGCACACCTAAAAAGATTTTCCCAGAAATCGGTTCGATTAAAAAATCTCTTCATTGTTTGTAAAATCGGCTCAGCGCGATGCCTTCCGATAAACACCCGCACACCTACGATAAAATTGGTTATTTTGTTGATGGTAGGCGCCATTTTGAATGTCATGTGACACGGGCACGTTCAGCTATTGGCTGTTCAAAAAATCGCTTCAAAATAATCGGTTCAAAATCAAACATTTGATTGTGAACCGATTATTTTGAAGCAATTTTGTGTAATCCGACAAGATTTTGTAGTGTGCATGTGAACTCAGAAAAATCCTCTAAGATAAATATTGAACAGCCAATAGCTGAACGTGCCCGTGTCACATGACATTCAAAATGACCCCTACCATCGACAAAATCGTAGGTGTTTATCGTAGGCGTGCGGGTGTTTATCGGAAAGCGTCACGCTGAGCCGATTTTACAAACGATGAAGAGATTTTTTAATCGGACCGATTTTTGGGTAGGTGTGCGCCGGCCTTTAAATCGCCGGTGAAATCGCCTAGTCGTGCATGCATGTGCACGTAGACGTGCGTGCGTGCGTGTGCACGTACACCTGCGTGCATGCATGCGTGCGTGCGTGTGTATGCGTGTGTGCGTGTGCACGTATACGTGCGTGCGTGCGTGCGTACACGTGCGTGCATGTGTGCGTGTGCACGTACACGTGCGCGCGTGCGTGCGTGTGTACGTACACGTGCGTTCGTGCGTGCGTGCGTGTGCACTTACACGTGCGTACATGCGTGCGTGCGTGCGTGCGTGCGTGTGCACGTACACGTGCGCGCGTGCGTGCGTGTGTATGAACGTACACGTGCGTGCGTGCGTGTGAACGTACACGTGCACGTACACGTGCGCGCGTGCGTGCGTGCGTGCGTGCGTGTGAACGTACACGTGCGTGCGTGCGTGTGAACGTACACGTGCGTGCCTGCGTGCGTGTGAAC